CCGTAGAATAACCATACAAACCCTAGTAGAGGGCGTCGGTCTTAAACAACTACGCGGTCCCCCCGGGGTGGTAAGGGGGGACTTTAGAGACGTTAAATATCCACCCCAACCCCTTAGAAAGTCCGGCCCTGTTGCTGCGTGAGCAGCAATCCGGCTGGCCAGGTGTTTCTTCTCTGGGGCTGCCACACTCAGCGGCCAATCGAGTGGAGGTCGAGTGTGGCGGTCTTAGGGGCGGAGCGTCCCTGGCGTGCCGCTTCGCGGCCCGATCGGAATAAAGACCACTGGGGGAGTGGTTGACGGCCGGTTTGGTTGGCGGGGTGGTGCGTTGGGGAGGACCATATGAGCCTCAAGGCTCGGTGTTCGCTGATTTTCTTAAGTTAGTTAGTTAGTGTAGAATTAGATGGTAGAGGCGAGATGATGCACAGTAGAAAGAAGTGTGTGAGCAGGTGTGAGAGGCAATAGATTAGGACTGGAGAGTGAAAGTGAATAGCGGAATTGTGTGTCGGGGGAGGGAGATGTTAGTGTAATATTGTTGGTTTTAGGGTTAGGAGTAAGGGGAGTGGGTAGGGACAGGGTGGGAAAGGAGGACAATAAAATATAGGGGTAAGTGTAGTTGTGAGCGGAGGGTGAGGCAACGGGGACTGTAAGGGCGAAGGGCTCATGCCGCTAGAAGGAGAACCATGGCAGCTGCAAATTGGGATAATAGGATAAATAGAGTAGGCGAAGGGTAAACAGTAATATTTTTCTTAAATTCCTACCTTAAATAAGAAAATCAAGCAGGCACCAGTATGTTATGTCTTGAGATTTAATTAAAAGCACTGATTTACACGTTGACACAATACGTTGGCTGCATAATATGGAAGAATGATGGAAGTGTCATCTTATAATGGATAAAGAAAAAATGGATATGTTTTAAAAGATAAAAGTCTGCTTATAAGAACTGTACAAGCCAAGGTGAGGTAAAATCACAGTGATTAATATTTAAACATGCGATAGATCAATAAGACAGATCAAGTGAGGAAGCACAATTTATACAAGTAAGCCGAGCGAGGCAGAGTTGTATTTAATAAAAATTGAAACTAAAATAATTTTTAAACATTTTTGCTAAATCAAAATTGGAATATAGATTAAAAGGGTTAAACAAAACAAAAAAAAAAAGAAAAAAAAAAAAAAAAAAAAAAAAAAAAAAAAAAAAAAAAAAAAAAAAAAAAAAAAAAAAAAAAAAAAAAAAAAAAAAAAAAAAAAAAAAAAAAAAATTATTTAAAAAAAATTGAAACAAAAATAATTTTTAAAAATTTTTGCTAAATCAAAATTGGAAAATAGATTAAAAGGGTAAAAAAAAAAAAAAAAAAAAAGAAAAAAAAAAAGAAAAAAAAGTCAATATATGTGAATTAAAAAAATGTAAAAATAATCATGAACGATAAGTAACTATAGAAGTAGAGTATAAAAAAATATATAATGTGTTGAGTTACATTTTGATCAATAAAAAACAATGAAAAAATCAAATTTTAAATCTAAAATAAAACGTAAATGTTTTTTGTAAAGTACAAAAGCGTAAGATCATAAATGAACACATTCTTCTGCTGCAATTTGTTTACTAAATTTAAAATTGTAGCATCAACAAAAGTTGAGAACCTTTAACTCTAAAGAGGACACACCAAACAGCCGAACAGCTGCAGTGTCTCCACAACGAGAAGGTCGTAGTCTGTCTTGACACACTTGTCATCCAAGATTGCTTTGAACTGTTTGATGGTGGCGCACAGCCTACTGACGTCATCTCCTTTGGTTAGTTTGGTCAGTGCAGCAGCTTTGCATTGATCAAAATGGACTGTTTCAATCCTGTAATTCAAGAGCTGTTGAAGGAGAGCCTGCTAAAAAAATAAAAAAATTAATTTAATTGTTTTTCCTTCCACTAAACTGGGAATATGTAAAGGTGTAAATACCAGGATAAATCACTGAGATCAATTAATTAGTCTGTAGGATATTGTTCATATTGTCAACAATCACATGTGTTTTTTTTCTTGTTTTTCTTTTAATATTGTGAAATTGGACGAAATTCAGCAGTAAACTTTTGTTGACACGAATTAAATCACAAACATTAGTCACAATTAAATTACCTTAATTGAATGCAATTTCGATCTTTTCTTTCAACCCAAATGTGTATTTGAATATTTCAATTTTTTTTTTTTTAAAACACCGGTCAAAATAATCATGAACAAAATCATGAAAAAAATCATTAAAAAAAAAACACGAGTTGCCGTGTACACCCTTCTCTCCCCTCCCCCCCACTCCGACTTTTTTCCCCGCCAGCTCTAAGTGGATCGCTTAATTTCAAAGGAATTTATTCAAAATGTCACTTCATTATCTTAACTGTTATCAAAGCTACATCTCCCATCGTTAGCGTTTATACATATGTCATTCTTATTTTATGACCATATAAATTAGAATGCATTTACATAGATTTATACTTCTAAATAAAAAGAACATTTAATTTCTTAGAAAACTGACCAGTAGTCAAATATAGCGGATCAATCAACAGTTATGATAAAGTGACGGAATGTTACGTTCTTGAAAATAGCCCACACATGTCTAAGGCCGGCACTGTGTGTAATGTCTATGAAGATGTCGAGCCTCATGAATATCTCTTTGCTGGTATCCGTCCGTCACAATGTGACGATGGTGTAGACGAAGTCTGCAAGGCCTTGGGTTATTCTTTTAGGGAATTATAAGCTGGTTCCCTACACATCAAATCGCCGCTGGAAAACCCAAGGGAACATCATGTGGATAATACAGCTTGGCACCGGTGGCGTCGCAGGAGTTGTTGGAATGTTTTCATTTGCCAATTTGATCCGCCTATGGGATTCCATCTCCGGGTTTAAATTCAGAGTTTTCTTCTCTAAACTCATCTAAATATCCATTTATCAGAGTATTCAGTAAAATTTTGGGATCTATCTGTTACAGAAATTATGAACTTATTTTCCCACGGTACGCTGCCATGACTAAAAGAAGACACACAGCCATTTTAAACAATCTTTAAAACATCTCAAATCATGACACACGGGGAAGTGAGGGGAGAGGGTTGCAAACACCAAGATACTGGTTCCATTAAATTTATGAACATATCGGAGATGATTTTTTAAACAAAAAGAAGCTAAACAGACCATGCACCAAAATCTTCCCTTCGTTTCCAGTAATGTTACCGTTTGTTTTTGAGATTTCCTATAGTCTGCCAATAAGTGGTGTGTTGTGAGGCAATCTTGAAAAGAGTGTACTTACTTTGTGAGGAGCGCATCAAATATTAACATGTAAGGATTAAAATGGTTAGGATTTGAGGCTTATGGTTTTAAGGTAAGGATTTATGGATGAAGATTATAAGGTTAGGATTTTTATTTGCCGTGCAAATCATGTAGCACAAAGCTCTAACTTTCAAAACTATTTACTTAAAGGCAACTCTAAAGTATATAAAATAGTTTAAAACTATCAACATCTTCAAAATGTTAGGGGTGGATGGTGAAGTGAAACATTTTTTTGTGATGGAAATAAAGAAAATGAAACATCGTTGCTAAGTCAATTAATCAATTTTTATTGGCAATAAACTAATTCATGGGGCATGGCTATTAATTGACACAATAAAGTTTTTTTTTTCTTTTTTTTTTTTTTTTTTTTTTTTTTTTTTTTTTTTTTTTTTTTGCAGGCTATAAACAATATTTTAGCATTTATGGCACAAATCTCAAAGTCAAAAGAGGCGTATTTTCATCGTAATGTATAAATTAAAAGTCTCACTTACATAACTGCTTGCCCCACCGTGAGGTGACATATTCATAGCACTGGAAGGCTTTTTGGAGTGCCGTGAATGTAAATAAAAAATACTGATTAATTCTAAAGAAATTTCCCCTACAATTCCGTGTATCTCTAATTTTACAATTATAATTTCTGAAATAATATATATATATATATTCAATATATATATTCCACACACACACATATATATATATATATATATGTGTGTGTATAAATGTATATATGTATGTATATATTGTTTCAGCTTGTCGCTAGTGGATGATTAGATTTTATATATATATGTGTGTGTATAAATGTATATATGTATGTATATATTGTTTCAGCTTGTCGCTAGTGGATGATTAGATTTCGTCGGTGCCGACTCTGGCCGTCGCATTGCAGCCGATTCTGCTTTGAAAGGTTTCTTTTGTAAAAACACTTTTAATTTATGACTTACTCAAAGTTTAGAAAATTGATTCCTTTCCATCATAACTGTACTTTTAAGAAAAATAAATACAATAATTGTTTAAATAATATTTTTTAAAATCTTCTTCATTTTTTTTTTTCGTCATTATTAAATGGATTCAAAACAAAACTTCTATTTATTAGAAATCGCGAGCTATTAGTCCATACTAAACATATATGGCGCACAAAGTAGTGTACCCGTAAAAAAAAACACAAAAAAAAACAAAAACCTCCAATACCCTTTGACAATTAAAAAAGACCGATTCCTTGTAATAATAGTACCAAACAAAAAAAAACAACAAAAAAGAAAAGAACCGGCTGAATACTTAAATTTGCAAACTTCGCGTGGTTTCACAACACAAATGAAAAATAAACGACACCTTCAAAATAATATTACTTGAATCAACAAAAATAGCTACAAACTTTACGTTGGCTCTTAGTCCTCCTTTTGAGACTGTCAACTGCTAACATTTGGATTAAGTGCAGGATTGATTTCATTCTAATGACATTTTATATCCACCGTTTAGTTCAGTGTTTCAAAGTGTAGAACGTGTACAGTAGGTACGGTACGTACGATAAAACAAAGAGGATTTTAGTTACGTATGTTATTTGTTTCTTTTTATACAAGGAAAGACACAGCCTACATAATTTACGACTGATTTTAAGTTCGCCAATAAACGTATCACTTTGTCCAAAGATCACGAGAGAAGGTTCACCAAATACACAAGAACTGTTACAAATAACCATCCCACGGAAGTAATTCGCGAGCTACCACAAAAGACACACGGCCGGTGGGTAGCTCTTACTTGTACGTTTTTGATGGTGTTGGTCACTCCATGGCGAGCAGTGGGAGTCACAGAGACGTTGGTTTGTATGGAATCTTGCACGGATTTTGAGGTGTCTGTTACTCCTGAATGAGGTGTTACTGTAACTGGGCGATCCGTAGTCGGTACTCTGGGAGTAACTGAATGAGGAGGTGTTAAACTAACCTGTTTAATTTTAGTTGTAGCAGTAGTAGATGTGGAACTAGACTGAGTAATCTTAGTTGTAGCTGCAGTAGGCATGGAGCTAGGTTGAGTAACTTTAGCAGGAGTCGGCGTAGTAGCCATTGGTGTCTGTGTTGTCATGACAACGGGATCTTCTTTGGTGCACGCAGCTCGTGTTAAGCTTTCATACTCTGTGCCATCACACCCGTTACTATCAACGATAAAAGGCTTATACGCATCAAACATGTTGCACCATTGCTGTGAAGACGTTGAAAGTACGTTGTCTTTTATCAAACCCTTACATTCATCTGACAGTTTTCCATTGTCTAACAATTCTTGAACATCTGGATCGTGATTAGAAAGTACTGTAGCACATGTGACATATTGTTGAATTGTGAGAAGGTGTAGAAAAAGGAACACCAGATAAAATGTCAACCGTGGCATCTTTTTTTTTTTTTAGAAATGTTTCTGCTTCTACTGCAATGTATAGAATAGAAATAAAAGAAGAATGTTTAACTTGGTCATGAAGTTTTCATGAATTGACTTAAAATGTAACTATTTATGTTACCTAACTTGTGGCTTTTTTAAAATTTAATTAAGGAAAGTTTAATGGATTTGTCACGTTATTTGATTTTAAATTCAGCATAAGAACCGGTTCTGATTTCTTTTTCAAAGTGCCTTCCAAACTGTTACTTAAGTAATGGAAATGAAAATATTTTAGAATGAAACTTTTGAAAAAAAAACCCATCAAAGCGATAATAAACACTCGGGAATCTTAATTCATGAATTTTGATACATTTAATGGTAAAAAATTTCAACAAAAATTACCAAGCTACGTTTGTAATACAATACGATAAATGTGGTAAAGTTTTATTGCTTATTTGAAAAGAAAAAAATTAGCATCTTCTCCAACGTTTTAAAGCTCTAATATAAATCTAGCATACTTGTTATTTAAAGTATATTTTCTTAATACAAACTATGAACTAAAACAAAAGCTTGTAAAAGCACTGCAATCAACGAACTCAGAATTTTTAATTTAGCGAATAAAAAATTAATGAACTTTCTTTGAAACGTGGGCGTGGAATTCTACGGGCCTATTTTATTTATAAAAGCCAGCGAGATTTCACACATGGATGACATATAACTTATATATTGCCTTAGCGTTCACCTGCTCTACTGACTTAGAATATCTCCACAGTTCACACTGTCTTGCGACCAATAGAATTCAAAATACCAGCACTGCGGTAGTTTGTTTGCTACACTGTAGCTTGTCTCATTCTGAAAAGATAACGTTCGTAGCCAACCAACAATGAGAAAATTTCAAGTGGCGTCCAACTATTGAAGACAAGGCTTGGGTTAGGCTAATCAAACACCTCGTGATAAGAACAGGCCTTAGTATTAAATTTAAAAAAAAAAAAAATGGTATCCTTTCCGGGTTAAGAATACTATTCCGTTTGTTTCTAAATCTCCTTTTGTTTTACGGAAATATTGTCAATTAAATATGGTGTTCTAAACAATATAAAAAGGGGATTGGGACGTTTAATCTAGTTCAGGGGCGTGGAAAAAGTGTGTGATTGCGAATCTTGTGCGGCGGAAGGGGGGGGGGGGGGGGGGTTTACTTGAGTGCATGTTTTATCGTGTAACTTTGGATGATGGGAAGTTCACGCATTGCGGCCGCCATTGCTTTGGCGGCTTTTTTGGTGTTCTAAACAATATAAAAAGGGGATTGGGACGTTTAATCTAGTTCAGGGGCGTGGAAAAAGTGTGTGATTGCGAATCTTGTGCGGCGGAAGGGGGGGGGGGGAGGGGGGTTTACTTGAGTGCATGTTTTATCGTGTAACTTTAGTAGATGGGAAGTTCACGCATTGCGGCCGCCATTGCTTTGCGGGCTTTTGTCAATAGATGTAGATAGCACGAACTATTTTTTTTTTCAAATAAATTTTTGGCCATGACTTGCCTCTTTAACATAAAGAACATTTTGTCCGCGGCAATTCTTTTTTTTTTTAAACGATAGAACGAAACTGACTTAATAAGAAGATAGAGAACTACAATGGTTTAGGTCTGCTTCAAATACATTTTAAAAAAAAAGTCAAATACTATTATTGCGATATGAGCTGTCCTACCAAAACAATATCTGCACGATGAAAAGGAAAATGGAAGCTTAAGTTGATGAGACAAATTGTTATTAGTTCAGCCTGATCAATACGTCATGTATGAAATAGTCCTAGTAAGGTAAGTTATTGAAGAATGGAATGGAGAGGTGAGGGAATGGGTTGAACTGTGTGAGGGTAGGGTAGACATGAGGGATTTAATAGAGAATAAGCTTAGTGCAGAGCAGTCACGTGACATTTTGAGACCCCCCTGCAAATTTTAGGGTCTTTGCCCCTTTACATCCAAATTTACTAGCTAACATGTTTTACAAATTACAACTTTAAATATCCGAGGTACCTTGAAAACGCAGGGGTTGCAAGGCCCCTCGCGACGGCTTTGGGTTTGCTAAGCAAGTCTCAATGGCTTCCACCTCAGATGCCTGCTTCCATTGGTCGAGGGGTGGGTGGCAATGTAAGATGGTATGATGGGTCTTGAGAGATCGTAAGGTGCAGAAAAGGGTAGTTGGGGTGAATCGGCCTGAGTCAAGAGCAGTGTGTCCCAACAGTGGCCCACACACCCCACAAGGGGGGGGGGGAATTCGATTTTTAAGCTTAAACAAAACTTTCAAAATGATCTTAAAGATTATCATTTTTAACACAATAAATAAAACAACAGTTGTACTACACTTTCATCATGTCGTCAGCTCTAAGTAATTTGTTAAAAGGAAATGATCGAAAGAAAAATCAATCCTTATTAACATTAGAAGTATATAACTTAATTTTAGATACCTCTCCTTTTAAATTTTGGGTTTTTTATTATTTTTAATTTTATGACCACATAAATTAGCACGCATATACGACTCCATGTTGTATTATTTACAAAACACTTTAATAAAGAAAAAATAAGCGATGTAAAATCTAAATTATACTTTAACGCCTTACCACGACAGTGCGGGTTGGCTTTTTTCTTTTTCTTTCTTCTTTTAGTCTCATTAGTTAAGTCACTTACCTTCCACTTGCCGTGAAACACTTTTTTTTAAAAAGTTTCCGTTGGGCTTATATAAAAATCGTTAATTTTAAATTAGAAATTAACACGGCATCATAAACTTTGAAAGGCGTGCGTCTCTGTTACAACTTATTAACACCTAGAGTCAAACACGTTGTAGTTCTAGTTGTGACATCATTAAAATATACGTAATCTTAACTTTGCATCCGTCTATCGCTGTGGCGCTACAGCCTATGTAGGGCTTTGGCCTGCCTCACTACTTCCTTCCACTCAGACCTAAATGATGCTCTTCTTTCCCATGCTTGGATTCCCAGTTGTTGTAAATCATTTTCCACATCATCCATCCATCTACGCCTTGGTCTGCCTTTTAGCCGTTTTTCCTCTGAGGTTATGGTGATGCACCCTCTTCACTCCTTTGCAATAAAAATAATGATATCTGTTGGACAAAGTAAGAAAAGCAGCCTGCTTATAAATAGCAGCCCAATAACAATAAAATGTAAAATAACGTTTTATCCCGATGACTCGATGCATGAACCCCCACCACTCAAAGTGATCCTCGGTGTGACAACGTATGGCAGAGCCGTCTTGATTATTGTCGAGTCGGTAGTCTGCATTGACCCCTCCGGGAGCAGTGTACCAATGACAATTACTTAAAAGGGGTTGTTAATGTTTGTGGGTTAACCTGACATAGTGTGATTGCCACAAACTCATGATATTTTCCATCTTTTCTGTTATTTTTCCATTTAATGAAGTTTAAATCGTACTTTTATTAGGCCATCAACGACTACGACTTGGATACTGTTGACAGGTTCACATATCTGGGAACCAACATATCCAGCACCCTCTCAATGAAGGATGAGATAAGTGGGAGGATAGGGAAGGCCGCAACTGTTATGGCCAGACTGAAGAAAAGAGTCTGGTCAAACGCCAAACTCACAACAAGAACTAAGCTGCAGGTGTACCAGGCCTGCGTACTGAGCACACTCCTGTATGGATGCGAGTCGTGGACCACATACTCTAAACACGAAAGAAGGCTCAATGGCTTCCACATCAGATGTCTGCGCCACATCCTTGACATTAAATGGCAAGACAAAGTCCCCAACACGGATGTCTCGTCCCAAACAAACATGTGTAGCGTCCCAGCCATGTTAATCCAAAGACGCCTCCGCTGGCTTGGACACGTCAAGCGAATGCAACCTGGTCGCTTACCAAAGGACGTGCTATACAGCGAGCTGGCGACAGGGAAAAGGTCAGTTGGACGGCCTCGTCTGAGATACTTAGACATATGCAAAAGAGACATAAAGTCGGCCAACATCGACATCTCAAACTGGGAGGAGCTGGCAGAGGATCGATCCTCATGGCCGGACATCGTGAAGGCAGGATCACTACATGCCGAGGATCAAAACAGGGCGGAAACAGCTGCAAAAAGAGCGAAGAGGAAGGCCGGTAAATACTGCTCCACCGCATTCGTGTGTGTGGGAAATGTAACAGAGACTGTCATTCGAGGATTGGTCTCACCAGCCACACCAAGAGCTGCAAGCAATAAAGATAATCTATCGTCTCCCGCAGCCGGGAGGATGCCATACATACATACATACTTTTATTTGAACGTCCTACTGGTATTCAGTCATCTGTTCAACAAAGTCCATAGCATTCCGCTAAATATATCACAGTCACCCATCTTCTTTATTTCTGTATATCAAGGAAAATTATGTGCAATATCAGTAGTTGATGTGATATATCAGTAGTTGATGTGCTATGTCAGTAGTTGATGTGCTATATCAGTAGTTGATGTGCTATGTCAGTAGTTGAGTAGCTGATGTCCTATGCCAGTAGTTGATGTGCTATATCAGTAGTTGATGTCCTATATCAGTAGTTGATGTACTATGTCAGTAGTTGATGTGCTACATCAGTAGTTGGTGTTCTATATTCGAAATTGGCGTGGGTGATGTGTTATATAAGTTGATATAGATAGTCTGTATATCAGAAGTTAGTTTACTGTATCAGTATTTATACGACACAAAGCGATATTTCAATTCGACATTGATAATAGGACAGCCTAAAACCAAAACTCATTCAGAGACCAATAAGAATCTACCACTTTGCCACCCAGCTGGTTTTGAAACACATTAGATAAGAAGGCTGCGGTCATGTGATTTGTTAAAAATGTAAAAAAAAACAGCAGTTTTTGTCTTATCTAAAACTTCCTTATTGTTATCGAACTTCCCTGATAATTGAAGCAACCATGACAATTTTTAAGATCAAAATATTAGACGTCACAAACGATTTTAAAAGTTTATTTTAGGAACTTTTTTCCAATATAGAACGGAGGCTTAAGGTATAGGTACTATGAATTATTAAGTTAATTAATTCCTGAAAAAAAAAAGTGAATTTAGATGGATTACAATGAAAATAATATGCACGGTGAAATAAAAACATGGCAAGAAAGACCAGTTCAAAGTATGCACTGAATTTTAAAAAAAAATATCAATTTATATAAGTGATAAACGAAATGACAAGTTTTTGTTTAAAAAAAAGATCTAATTCATTAATATTGCAGGTAAGGTAGTCGCAAACAACTTTTTCACTCCAGACATTATACGAAAATAATCGTATTTATTTTCCGACATGCTGACATTAAAGTTGAACACGCTCGGCCATTATCCTGTTTTACAATTTTGGCCACCTTTATCACAACAAATCACAACCCACGCAAATAAAAGTACTGCCAATGCGTCAAAACTCACTCCACGCACCCCGACAGCACTGCCAATACGACACAACTGACTCCACGCAACCCGACAGCACTGCCAATACGACACAACTGACTCCATGCAACCCGACAGCACTGCCAATAGGTCATTTCCCGTCTTTTTGACTAAGCCACGGATGGATCCTTTCTTGGAATTTTAATGTTGGTTGTGGTTTTGGTGGCTACGAGAATATAATTCAAAATACTTTTTGTTTTAATCTCACAAATATGAATCTGGGGACCAATTTCCCCTAATCATCCCCCATTTTGGAACGCCCATGGTCGTAAGTACATAAATCATGCTGCCAGTTTTTTTCGTCGGTGACAATAAACCTTGACAGGACACTGTGCAGCAGATGTTAATACTTCAGAGCTGTGTGTTGGGTGTGTTTAAAGCTTTTTTTTTCCAAGAAGAATAACGGAAATATCCAACCCCATAGGAGTTTTAGTCCATGTCGAATGGTGTTGCTAACTTCTTAACCAAATGTGTACGTCACAATGCGAATTTAGCAAACACTCCAAATTAACGGTTGTGAGTGGTAAAAGAAGTTTGTCGAA